ATATTTGATTGGGAATATAGATGCAAACACCTTTTCACTTTTCAGGACTGTGCCTTCCTACTGTAAAAGGAATGCATCTTAGTAATATATTAAGTACAGTTCTAAAAACCGCATTTGTTGTGCCCAAGTTTTAGATCCCCAGTCGTGGAGAGACCAAGTCCACACACGATAGTGCAAAAGCAAAGGAACCTTATTGCTAGCTCGAGGTAGGGACCAAAACTCATCCAAACACAGTGGAGTCTTGACAAGGACCCCGACTCCAAATCACAAGCAGTTTATATAGGATTCAGAATTAAGCAAGTTATATACTGGTCTATTTTTACCATTGGCCCTATTACAGTGGTGGTCAGCAATTAGGCAATGGTTAGCAACGGTTTCTAAAGAAGGGTACAGTGACCCTTCATGACCGGCCAGACCCAACTGCCCAATTCCTTGTCTGGGCAAATTACTCACCTGGGAATCTACCAGAAGCTGCAAGTCCTGCTCCGAGAAAACAGAAACTGAGGCCTAGTTGAGATTTAATGTTAGCTGCAGCTTGTCATGGCATCAGTTTCACTTTCACACATTGATTTTGCAGAGCTCTTTACTGTAAAGTGCCCAGTAGCTCGTGTTGGACAGGTAGGGAAGACGCCCAGTGTCAGGGGCCCAAGGGTCTCTGTGTTCTTTCCTCTAAACGAGGCTCAGCAGACCGCCCAGCCTGGTCATCATGGAGGCCATCTAAAGTGCGTCTCCGTGCTGCAGGCAGTTCCTCGCAGCTGCTCTGTGCTTCTTTGTACTGCATCACTGTCATGAGCAGTGCGATTCCCGGTAGGTACATCACGGCTGAGGCTTTCTGATCAAGCCCTGGCACACCCCAGCTCACCTGATCTCTGGCCTTAGCAGCCCCTCTGCCGTGCCGGCCATTGTTTACACTTCTCAGGATCACGCTTCCCTCCAGATGGTGCTGGCCTCTGGATCCGCCCATGGGAAGTCCTCCTTCTCCACGCGTGTGCTCAGGGAGGTCGGCAGGGAGCAACAGGCTTGGCCCCACAGTGTGCGCCTCCCGGGGACGTGTGGTGAGAGGGAACGCCAAGCCGTGGGCCGACGTGCTTCGGGAAAGGCACTTAAATCTCTGTGCATTAATAGAATCTACACGTTTCACATCAACCCCCTCAACGTCGCGCATACACTGTCGACTCCGTGTCTGCTCCCTGTGTGCATGACTTCTCAGCGTGATTAAGTGTTACTTAACAACAGGGCAGGAATCTGCCGACCGAATATTGCCAGTTTGAGTTCAGGTCCCCGAGGTTTTGACTAGAGTTTTAATATATTTATGAATATCTATGGCGTGTGTCCTATGAGACTTGAAAGGATATAATTCAACAAAATTTGAGCTAAAAAGACATTAATCCCAGTAATTCCTCTCCTCTGAAAATGTGTTTCTGTGCCCTGGGAAGGCTACTGGAAGCAGGCTGCCCCCCAGTCAGAGCTTCTGTTTTCAGAGACGCGGACAGTGCCCAGTGCTGGTGGGCAGAGTGGGGCGGCAGAAGCTTTTGCTTACTTCTGCCAGCCCCCTGGGTCATGTGTGCTGAGTAGCCAGCGGAGCCCGAAGCTGGAGCAGAACCTGGTGTCACGGGCTGGGGTGCAGGGGCCCACCCGCTGGTTTGGTGGGGGCTGCTCTTGTCTCTCCCCCACCCTGCCCGCAAACCTCCACCCTCTGCTGAGTGCCGCATCCCCACTTCCCAGATCCTCTCCACAGCCGCCAGCTTTCCTGGGGGTTGCTAGCCCTCACCTGAAATACACTCATGGTTGTGATGCCCTCGATTTCCGTTTCACCAACGGCACACGGGTGTCTCCGCTCCATCCCTCCTGCCACTAATATCTTCTCTCCGGTTCACAGATGTGGACACTTGCATCCTGGCCAGAGCAGACGGCTCTTTGCTCCTCTCAGGAATATGTGTGTGTGTGGGGGGGGGGGGGCGGGGGGGTGTTGTTGTCCTTCCTGGGGTGGTCTGTGCACTCATGCCAGTTCAGGTTCGCGGGGCTCCCTGGGGCCGTGGGTTAGCATCTTCCCGCAGACAGAGTCAAGCACAAGTGTGCCGGCAGGTGTGCTGTGTGTCATTTCTGGGCCTGCTTCCTTCCCCTGGAACACATGTCCCTGTATCCCGTCTGCCCGGGGATCTCTGTGGACACGGGGACATCTGCTGACACAGCCCTGGACTAAAGCTCGGCCACTGACCCTGGGTTCATTGCTAAATTAAGCTGAAATTAGGATATGGATATAACCCTTTATTAATTACAAATCTTAGTAAAGAACATTAAGTGAATTTGTTCTTAGGAGTATATCGTGCTAACTGATTAAAACTTATATTTCTGACACTTTAAAAAAATTTTTTTATTAGTGAATCACCATAAGGTACAGTTAACAGGCTTACAAACTTTCGTGCTTGTATTTCAGTCATACAATGATCGAGTACCCATCCCTCCACCAGTGCTCATTTTCCACCACCAGTGGTCTCAGCATCCCTCCCACTACCCCCACCCCATCCCGTCCACCCCACCCTGCCTCTGTGGCAGGGCATTCCAAACCTCTTCTTTCTCTGGAGGGGTCACACCCAGCAATGCACAGGGTTACTCCTGGCTCTGGACTCAGGAATTACTCCCGAGTGCTCAGGGGACCATATGGGATGCTGAGAACTGAACCCGGGCTGGCTGCCTGCAAAGCAAACGCCCTAACCTCTGTGCTATCGCTCTAGCCCCTCTGACACTTTTTATTCTTTTTGGCATTTTTCTGTCATCTAAAATTTTAACTTTGCCATGAGAGTGAATTTTATGATTTTTCATAATAGGATTTCAATATCGTCCAGCAAGTTGGGTGGTGAGGTGGGTGAGCTGGTGGTAGGGCAGCTCTGTCCACTGAGCTGCCCTCTGTCCACCTGGCCTGCGCTCATGCCCCTCCCCCTGCCCTGTGCCCCATCCCTCAGACCCCTAACATCTCAGTTCCCAGAGACCAGCCCGGTTCATCTTGGTCCCTATGAGCTTCCCGCCCCCTCCAGTTTGGCCTCCCAAGCCCAGGGTCCTGTGCAGACCCTCTGAGCCCACAGACAAGCAGCTATTACCTCTCGGCTCCCTTCTTGGGACTCTGTGAGCTCCCAGCTCCCTGCTGGAGACGCTCACCCTCTCGGCGCTTGCCCTCTTCAAGGGTCTCTGGTTCTGTCACTGCTCCTGCTCAGATTGACATCCAAGGTCCACGGTGACCATTACATGGGCCAGCGGGGCCTATGCTGCCCTGCCACCAACTCGCCCACCTCACTGCCCAACTTGCCAGACGATATTGAAATCCTATCGCGAAAATCACAAAATTCACCGCTCATGCCAAAGTTAAATTTTTAGACGACAGAAAAATGCTAAGAAGAAGAAATAAAAAAGTGTCAGAACTATAAGTTAATCAATTAGCACGGTGTACTCCTAAGAATACATTCTCTTAATGTTCTCTAATAAGATCTGTAGTTAATGAAGGGTTATATCCATATCCTAATTTCAGCTTAATTTAGCAATGAAAGCCAGATCTTACTGTAATTATCAGTGCTTCCTGTGAATACTTTAATAAAGTGCTCAAGGACTCCACTATCCCACTTGTATTTTTTTCCTCTTATGGAATCACTTAAAATATACATGTAAATTATCTGCTCCTCGTTATGCTGTTAAAACGCAAACAACAGGTTCTCTGTTCACATGGGTTGGCGATGCCGGAAAGTCCAGCTCCCCCACGGGGTGTGTGGGTCAAGGGGAAGTACTGACGTCCATCCCCTTCTGTATCAGAGACTCTTCTGTTGCTTCCTTCCTCCGCCCACATGCTGCTGGCCACGTGGTGGGCTCCAGTGGGGCTGGAGTGAGATGGGTGAGGTGAGGTCTGCTGTCAGCGTCCAGACTCGGAGGGGTCCAGAGGGGTAGACGGTGGTCTCCGTGCACCCACAGCTCTTCTCCGGTGACCGAGCTGCCCTGCCCCCAGCTCACCTACCACACCCCCAGGTGCTGAGGGGCTTCACCAGGACCAAGTCGCAGCTGGCTGAGAATTCGTGGGATTATCTTGTTTCCATCCCCCGCAGTAGATGGTGCGGGGGGCAGCAGCTCGGGCTAATGACCAAAGCAGTGTTCAGACATGGCCCCACATGCCCACCTGCACTCTGCCTCCACAGGGGCACGGGCAGACTCCGCAGCTGAATGGCACATTTGCCCAGGAGGCGCCACTGTTCTCTCTACAGTGGCAGGTGTGTGGCAGCTCCTGTCTCTGAGCACGTGACCCCACCGTTACCTGTGGGAGCAAATGAAGGCTCTGTCCACTGTAAGCCCAGGCACAGATCCCCAGGGCCCCTCCCAGGATGAGGTATCAGTGACCGGTCACCAGGGCCTGGTAATGAGCACAGTCAGGTTTAATTTAAATCTCAGAGTGGGGGCCAGATTGATGGTACAGTGGGTAGGGCATTTTGCCTTGCACGCGGTCAACCTGGGTTTGATCTCCGGCACATCCCACATGGTCCCCCAAGCACCACCAGGAGTAATTCCTGAGTGCAGAGCCAGGAGTAACCCCTGAGCATCGCTGGGTATGACCCAAAAAAAAAACAATAAAATAAATAAATAAATAAATAAATTGCAGAGTGTAAGCCAAATGGTGTTGACATTCTCTCATAGGAGGGCTGAGGAGTCCTTCTGAGGGTAAGGGCAGATTGATCTACTCAAGCTAACCTGTCTCGCTTTGTGTGGGGGCCTCCCGTATAGGGCAGGGGTCCGCTGCCAGCATTTTCTGGCCGGTCAGCTAGGAGGTCATCAAGGGGGTGTGAGGACGCCGGGCCTGAAACTGTAGGTGGTGGGCAGCAGGTCTCACCTGGCACCCTCCCAGCCCCCCACCTGTCCTCTCTCTCGCCTGATACGTTTCAGGCTCCATGTCAGCATGACCAAAGCATATTCTCAAAGGCTCCCCACAAACGGCACGAAGTCACGCTGCTTTTTTTCCCTTGCAGTGAGCCAGGGAGGTGTGGCCTTAGTCTCTGACACCTGCCCAGACCCGGGAACTCCAGAATACGGCCGAAGAGCAGGCTCTGACTTCAGGTAGGAGAACAGCAGCTTCTAAGTGTCATATGATTTCCCAGAACCCATGAATCATTCCCGCTCTTGTGTGTGTTCGGCCGGGGTGTGAAGAGGCAGCATCTCTGTCTCTATCCTGCTGTGTTATCCTTTGAATGCCAACAACGTGTGCAGTGCTAAAAGTTGTGGATTTTGTTGAGTTGATTCTTTCCCCTATGGGAGTGGTGTGGAGGGGGGGGGAGAGGGTTACATTTGTACTCTAACTATAGATGCTCAAAGTCTATGTAAAACCAATTTTATGGTTTTGTGGTACTAGGAGTGTGAGGAGCTAGAGTCTGTTCCCTGTGTGGTCATGAATACAGTAGCGATTTTAACAGCACTCCCAGTGTGGATGTCTGCATTGCTCTCAGTTCATTTAAGAAAAATAGTATTTTCTCACATCACAAAGAATACACAAGGCCAGAGGAATGCTGCAATCAGGAGTTCATTACAAACTGGAGCCGAACCTGTGGTCACTGTTTCCCTCCTCATCCTGGGCCTTTCTGGGAGTAAGAGAGGCTGTGGTGTGTTCATGCAGGCTGGTGGGCTGAGAGCCAGAGCCAGAGCCACGTTAGGGGGCAGGGGCAACGCCAGCCAGTGAGATCGGGCACTGGGGGTTGCTCGGGAGGATGGTGAGGAGTGAAACGCAGCACTCTGCCCAGAGATGGGCCATCACATCCACCATCCTGAGGGAAGAACGTGCAGGTGTGATGCTGAAACACCCCAGACTCCCCTGTCCCTCACTCCTCGAAGGGCTGGATGTGGGAAACTTGGGGGCAGACCCCATCTGGGTGTTTGAGCCTGAGATGGTCTCTTCTCCCATTGGTCTTTGGGCAGCATGCGGGGGTTTCTTAGGGGAGCGGAAAGCTGAGCGGAGAGCGGCCGTCGCCAGCTCAGGAGACTTGGTGCCAAGACCTCGCCCTCTCTGCCCCTGGCTCTGTCTGTCCGGGTTGGCACAGGGGGAGGCTGCACGAGATGCCATGAGTCCCTCCCAAGCTGCTGCATGTCCAGGGGTGCTGGTCAGTTCCAGGGCCAGGCCCTGATTTCAGAGCATTTACCACACACACACACACACACACACACACACACACACACACACACACACACACCAGACAGCCCCTAGTGGCATACACGTAGGGATTTTATCCAAGTTTCTAAAAAAATCAGAGGAAAGATGAAGTCTACTCATCTCTGCTGGACAGACCCCACCCCAGAACATGAGTTTTCCAACTTGCGGGGTGTTTTCTATTTTCTGTGCACCTGCCCTCACCTGGGAAAGGCGTCCCTCACACATTCCTCCAGAAGTTGCTCGTGGCCCTCCTGGGACTGCGTGTTCAGACAGTATTTCTCTGGACCCTGAACCTCAGCTGCATGTTCACTCTCTGCCCCGCACTCACCCCTCCCCATGCAGGCTCACCGCAGCATCTCTGCCCATGGTGCCCAGGCCGGTGGGTTCTGAAAATCAGCAGGGCAGGCTTACCCTGCTTCCCTCCTACAGCCCTGCCCGAACCCAGACCTGCTTGGGTGTTTTTTTCCACAGTGAGCAAAGTTCTGTCACGTGGTGCCAGGTTCAGGCGATCACATCTGTGGAAAAGAGAAAGTGCTCGTTCATTTTTCAAAGTTTACAGGAAACTTGGGAGCAGCCCAAGCAGACCGAGGTTCGTTTGCACAGGATGTGATGGAAACGTGACCGTAGCACGGGGTGAACGGGCCACTCTCCCCCCTCCTCCTCCCGCCGCCCGTGTCTGAAGCAGATGCAGGAGGACGAACTGAGTGGGGGACTTGCTGCATGTGTGCATGGCCATGGGAGGAAGGCCACAGCACTGGAGAGCCCAGAGCTGCACGCCCAGTGACACTGCCCCTGCCCCAGCCAGGCAGTGAGGGCGAAGGTGGACAAAGGTGGACGTGTGGCTGGCTCTACACCTGGTATGGGTGCGAGGTCTCACTCCTGCCATGATGGCCCTGTGTGTGTGTGTAAGAAAATGGGAGTATATGTGTGTAGATGTGAGTGTAGGTGAATGTGTGTGAGTGTGAATGAGTGTGAGAATGTGTGAGTGTGTGAGTGTGAGCATTTTTAATGTGTGAGTGTGAATATGTGTGTGTTTGTGCATGTGTGTACATGTGAATGTGTGTGGGTCTGAATGAGTGGTAAGAATGTGTGAGTGTGTAAGTGCGAGCATGTGTAAGTGTGTGTGCATGAGTGGATAAGTGTGTGAGTGTGAGCATATGTGAGTGTGAATGGGTGTGTGTACATGTGTGTACGTGTGAATAAGTGTGTGTCAGTGTAAATGAGTGTGAGAGTGTGTGTATAAGTGTAAGCATATGTAAGTGTGAATGTGTGTGCGTGTGAATGAGTGTATGTTATGCATGTGTGTACATGTGAACAAGTGTGAGTGTGTGAGTGTGAATGTGAGTGTGAATGTGAGTGTGAATGAGAGTGAGTGTGAATTGAGTGAAGTGTGTGTGAGCGTATGCGTTTGAGTGTGAATATATGTGACTGTGTATTGTGTGTGAGTGTATGTGAGTATGTGTAAGCATGTGTGTGAGTACGTACAGAATATTGAGAGTTAATTCTAGCACTTTTGTAGACTTCCTAGGACTTTCTCCCCCAAATTCAGGGCCTATTAATTCTATCAACTACAAATATATATTTTTATTTCTTTCCAGTCAATGTTGGCTTGAAAAAAATTTTTTAATATTTCTTTTCTTTGCCTAAAGGCATTAAGGCCTATGTTTCAAGGAAATATTAGTGGTGGTGATGCAGATGTTCAGATTCCTAATGTTAGCCAGAAACATCCTGGGTTTTGTCATTCAGAATGATATTGGTTATAAATATTTTATACGTGTCTCTGATCAGGTTGAGGAAATACCCTTCTATTTGGAGGTTTGTTGGAAATTTTGTGTGTGAGGAGAATATGCATTAGTCACACTCATTAAATGCATTACAGTAAATTAAGATTATCAAATAAAAACACACAGTGTTCTAAAAATGTTCATCTTAGACTTGCTAACCAGAGATAGTGCAAGCTATAAACTAAACAGAAAAGAGGGTCGAGAGATAGTACCATGGGTAAGACTCTTGCCTTGCACGCAGCCAACCCAGGTTTGATCCCAGACACCCCAGCTGGTCCCCTGGGAATCTCCAGGAGTGATTCCTGAGTGCAGAGCCCAAAGTAATCCCAGAGCATCACGGGGTATGACAGGAAACCAAACCAAAAGAAAAAAAGAAAAGTACCCAAACCTCAAAAGACATCTTATCAGGGCATCACAAGTATCTATAAGAAAAATATTTTAAAAGATCCAAACCCATCAAAATACCAAAGTTTGGAGTGTGAAGTGAACCTATAAATGATCAAGAAATGAATGAAAGCATAGATTGTTGATGTTGAATATATAACATGAATATCCAGAGTTTTCTACGGTTACAAGTAAAGTTTATGAACCTTGCCACAATTGGGGATATGTTTTTTACAAGTGTGTAGGTAAGGCTTTGAAAACGTCACCTATATTAAGCCCTTCGGCATATAAAATTAATTTAGAGGACAGTCGTTTCAGCTCACTCTGGTACATCCATTCCCAAGAAAGAGCTATGTTCCAACACAAGTGGACGTGGTTCTTTTGTTTGAGAAAAAAAGCTTTTCATAAGGATATATTTATTTTTATGTATTTATTTGGAGTCACACTTGGCAGAACTCAGAGACTGTCCCTGGCTCCATGCTCAGGGGTGGGGATGCTGGCGATGGAACCAAACTCAGCTGCGTGCAAGGCGGTACCTGATTCCTGCATTGTCTCGGCACCCAGTAGAGCCTTTCATCAGAAAAAAAAAGACTATGGGGTTTTATCCAGACATTTCCCTGTACTGATTGAGGGGATCTCTCCCACTTTTCTTGTTTCATCACAGTGAAGAATCACTTACCCGAGCGTGCATTCTGGGCGTGCTCCATCATTATGCCCATGTGTTGCTGCGTTCAATTGGCTCATTCTTCCTCAGAATCTTTTTTGTGTGTGTTCATGACACATGTTGACTTTGATAGCCTGATCCTGTCACGACTTGGTCTTTGGCTGGTTGGTTTTCTTCTTGAATACTGGTCTCATGCAATAGTTGGAATGTTCTTCTCATACATCCCAGAAAATTTTGAGTCAAGTTAGTAGTGTTCCTTCTTAATTTTTGTGGAGATTCATCAATAAAACTGTCTGGAATTACCTGGTTTTTTTTTTTTGCTTTTTTATTTTGGGGGCAACCCCCAGCTGTGCTCAGAGCTTATTCCTCACTCTTGAGCTCAGCAGTCACTCTTGGAAAGCCAGGGAGACCTTACGGAGTGATGGGGACTGAACCCTGGTAGTCACACACAAGGGAAGTTTCCTAACTGCTAGACTATCTCTCTGGCCCCAGAATTTTCTCATAGTAATGTTTTGTTTTAAATTAAAAATTCAACTTCATTTTCTACATAGCTACCACTTCAGGATCTATTTCTCCACTTGAATATTACTAAGGCCCATATTTTGAGGAATTAAACAATTTCATCAAATTTGTTCATTTTAATGCATACATTACTGTATAATAAGTTCTTATATTAGTCATAATATCACAGTTTTAATTCCTGATAATTGGTAACCTGTGTTTTCTATCTGATCTGACTGGAGACATACCAGTGCTAGTGATTCCCCAAAAAATCAACTTAAGGCTGGAAAGATAGTACAGTGGGTGGGGGCCTTATCCTACATACACCCTGCAGGGGTTTCATCTCGGACACCACATGTGATTCCCAGAGCACCACCAAGAGTGATGCCTGAGCACAGAGCCAGGAGTCAGCCCTGAGAAAAATCCAGAGAGGTCCCAAAACAAAAAGACAAAAAAAAATCACATTTGATTTCACTGATTTTTATCTTTTGAATTTATTTGCCTTACAAGCCACTGATTATGCTCTGGTGTGTCATTATTTTCAGTACCTAATTACTAAGGGGTTTGTTTTCTTTTATTTTTC